ATTTCTTTTGGAGTCCATGAGTCTTTATGATTGAATCAGGATCATTGGTCATTCTTTTCCCCTGGGAGATGGATGGTTTCTGACCACTTCCATAGCAAGGTAACCTTGATCTTAATACGTAGGCCAAAGATTGGATCTATGGTGTGACCAACTGCAGGGGAAGTACCTAAGAAAAGCAGTAGGCCACATATAAAATATGATAAAATCTTACAGGGTAATAAAACTGGATTACTTCACCACCATTGCCAACAAAGTATTGGTGAGCTTCTTTCTGAATCATTTCATTTACAATGATTCTATAAACAATCACAAAGGTCAGTTACTGTGGCTGAATCACAAGATCAGTTAGTTTTTTGGGATGAATTAAGTTGAATAAAATTATTGCACCTGAGGCTCCTGTCTTGCATTTGATATTTGCTGCAGAAATGAATGCAATCTTCACTTTTGTAGATTTGGTATACAGAGTTCCCTATAGGGGTTGGAAATAGATGTGGATTAGTGCAGGACTTAGTGTCATCCGCCCAGCTCTGTGATGCAGGCTATATTAAGCACCCTCACTGCTTAGTTCAAAGATTGTCTTTTAGCAGTAGATTTTGCATCGATCAGCACCAGCTTCAGTTCACAATATTTTTCACTGTTGTTTCTGGTCCATGCCTAGGTAATAGTTCTGTGGAGTGTATAGATTTTACAAATATATGGAATTAGGTTACTTATGTGTGCTTTTCTGTTTCCATGGACACGTCCTCCAAACTTGAACTGCGGTAGGTGATGAAGTAGATTAGTTTCAGTGGATGATCTGTGTGGAGAACCAAAGTATCTGTATAAGTAGTGGTCCTATGAAGCTTTAAAGTTTCATCTTCTCTGGAATATAGTGTCCCAGTGCTCCTAGAGAGATTCTGGTTCAGTTGGTGAGAAGGTCATTGGGATGGAGGCCCAATTGTCTCTCACGGAGCACTAAGGGATGTTTTTAGCCAAATGTTCTAGTTGGCTATATTCATACAATTGACAGAGAGAATAAGCATTGCTTTTAATTTGATTCAACTTATAAATTATGAAAAGAAAGTAATAAAGACATTTAATTGTAAGACGAAGTTTTCTATCACAAATACTGCTCTAATAAAGCAGTAGCAAAACTAGCTTTAACTATCTTTGTTAAAGATCTAAAATAATACGTCATAAAATGAGAATATTTCAAAAGTTTCTCACCAGTATTTCATCCATTACCATAATTGATAATCTGAGTATTTAGGAAATTGGACAGACAATGCAAACAGGAATACATCAAGGAACAAGGAAATTAGAAATACAGAATAAGTAACATTGATAAGGTAATGCTGCGTATGATACCTTATTTTTGGATGTTTTTAGTGTTATTTTTTCAATTTACATTAATGATGGCCTTTTGTGTAATTTAAAATAAAAACTGCAGGAGTAAAGTGAAAAAGTATTGCCAGCTTTCAGCATTGTCATAACTGATTCAATTTTAACTCAGGCAAAATTGGAAAGGGTTAAAAATTGACACACATGTTTACAGCTTCTTGTAAAGACCATGAGTCAACTCCTGGCCCTCTTAAAGATACGAGTATTCCCATTGACTTTATTAGGTTCAAGATTTCACATGAACAGCACATGCCCTCTCCACATGGGTGCAACTGAAAGCAGAATCCAACCCAGGAAATGAAATCTCTGGAAGTAATTCAATATTGTACTGGATTAGCTTTAATTAAGTAACAAATAAGGTACAGTGCTTCCAGCCCTGTTTCTGCAAATCTCACAAATTATCTTTAATTTGTGAGATTTAATTTATGAAGATGGTCTGAACAGATTGGAATATTAGACTTAGGAAAGCTTTCAACACTCTTTTGGAAACTTAATAGGTAACCCATAATATTGACTATTTATAACCCCTGCGAAACGTTTTTGAGTGGTAAATTCTTCAGACTGATTACATTTAAAACTGTCAATCATGCACTATATAATGTGCTGCCCTAACGGCAGGAAAAACACGGTTTGGCTCAGTTTACATAAGAGGAAATGATGAGAATTGGAACTCTGCTGCACTGGAATTCTTGTTTTGAAAAGACACAATCCACGCAATGTTTGTCATAGCTTTGTTGACTGGAAGTACTTTAATATAGTGAAAAATCAGTATATGTTCATATGAAAGTCCTACTGCGGCAGGCTGGCCCAAGGCTCTTTCAATATGGAAGTATCCTAGTCTCACTGCTAAAAGCTCTTTGGTTTTGTCTTTCCTAAGGAAACAATAAGCTTATTGAATTTCTGATGTCTTTTGAATCAGAAGGACTAGCATATTTTTTGTACCTCTCACCACTTGCCTGCAATGAGTGCAGGTAAGGAGGCATGTACTTCAAGGCCTGCATCATGGTGTAACATAAACTCTAACCCAGCCTTTGTAACCAAATGACACGGAGAGCTCTTGTTTTAGGTGACCTCTCGATGTATGTTGTTTTTGCCAGTGTACATGTTTGACAGTATTAAGGAATGATTTATTATTCTCAGACTCATAGAGACATTCATGAATTTACAAAATGGCATCACTTTTCCAACAATACTATGTATATTCCTCCTATTTCCATGTACATAGAATTTGTAAACAGATAAAGAAAAACCATGAAAAAATCTTTAAATTAGTCCAATTTTGAAATATCCTAAAAATAATAGAAATTGAGATGTTAAAATAATTCAACTATAGGAACAAATATTATTGCAAATACATTATTGTAGTTTTAGAAATATTGTCAGACTATAATGATGATTTGGCTCATGTGAGTTGAAAGATGGTGAAATCCTCAGTCTGTCAGAGGGATACAAACGGAAAAGATAGCTTATTTAATTTTCTTCTATAGTCTTACTTGAGATATTTAAAAAATAGCATACATTTGGGCTTTTAACTGCTACATTTTAAGTTGCTTGTCAGTAGATGCTGCTGTCTTGAACAGTGCCATGGTAGAGAGAGAAAATGGTTCTTAGGACTTTTTTTCAGTGAGTATATGTGAAGGTCTCCAGTTTAAATTGTACTTTTTGCCAGATATAAAAGGATGAGAGAATACTTGAGGAAAAGACTTGAATGAATAATATGGGCTAATGTATAACATTATGTTTGTTGTGAATTAGATGTACTAGAGTTACAACAAGGAACTACCTAGAGGCCATTTGTGTATGGGACAATTAAACTCATGGTCCTGTGGATGCTAATTTATTTGTAAGCTTTAGCTGATTAAGAAAGCTAAGAGAAACTTGCTTTGCAAAAATGCTCTTTTATTATTAGATTAAATGCTCTCTGTTATTGCCACTGGAGAAATAGCTTTGAATCAGGGTCATGTCACAAATGAAATTAACTGAATGATCTCCGTTCTATATCATTTAGATAACAGAAGTATAAAGAATATTCTGACATAATGAATAGTTACTGCTCATATCAATGTAGTCCCCTTGAGATAACTGAGATGACAGTACAGTGTTCTCTCTTTGCTTGACAAAGGGTTTGGTGTTTAGTGTAGCCTACTTAGGCAGAAATCTCTGTAATTCTTAATGGAAGCTGCTTTAAGTAAAATGAGATGATATAAAATTGTAAAGAATTGACTCCTTTCTTGTAACATTAAAAGAGATTTTTATTTTGTAATTCTTCCTATGGAAATATATGAACCAGTCTACATCCTTCTGTCCTGGAGAATCCTGTGTACTATCTTTTCCTTTCTATTCACAAAATATTCACATGTCTCCAAAGTTTGTACTTTAATATTTTGAAATATACATTGTTCTGATTTTTCAAGGCAGCATCTCCTTTTATTGACTAATACAAAAGATGACTTATTATAGGAGAATTTTATTTTTTTATACAATAGTAGGTATCAATAAACAGTTGCATTAAGGTCATTGTGGACACTATTCTCAACAAGAACCATAATAGGAAAGTGGAAGTTTGCTGTTCTTATTATTCATATTTAATAATTATATTACAGTAACAAATAGATGTCTATATCAGGGTAATTATTTTGCCAGCATTGCACAAATATGTATGCAGTTGTGGCCCTGATAGAGCCTTTCTTAGAGCTTGTCTTTTTTACATCATCAATATTTGTCAGAGATCTTTGGATGGCTAATAGACAGCTTGCATTTTGTATTACTTTGTAGACATAGTATCTTTATACTATATACTTTATTTCTAAGTGATAAGAAATTCAAACTGAAATTCAAATTCCATGGAGCAATTTGGTATGACATAAAAATGTAGTCTCAATCTTTTGTATTGTATAAAAATCCTGTAAACCATGTTCTTGTAAAAGTTTCTAAACCACACTTAGAATTATTTCTCTGGAATGTACACTTTCCATATTTACATGTGGGGCTTCCACTAATTGTCATGATGGGCCATTTGACAGGGTGTGCAGGAGAACGATAAATACTTTTTCTCTACCTGAGTGCAACCCCTTGCTTTTATAAGTTTTTTCTGGGCAGTTAAAAATACTAGATTAAAATAATAAACCATTGATTTTACAGTGGGGCAGAGGGAAGCAATTTACTTAAGTTCTGTAGAAGTCACACATATATTTTTAGTCAAACCCAGCATCAGTACACAAACTATTTTAGCTACAATAATAAGTTGGTGTCAATTCCCAGTTCCAGAGAAAAGACTGTATCCTAATATAAAACATTTTGTTTCTTTTAATTTTTTCACCATCCCTATTTTTGTGGGTGCAGTGTGACAAATATAAGTACATGGTTTTTCCTCTGGCTGGTTAATACCCCTTGAAAAGGTAAGGAGCACCAGCTTCTAGGACACTTATGCAGGGCTTTTAATTTTTTTTTATCATACTTCTCCTGGAGTATAGGAAATAGCTTTGCCTGTGCTTTTAATAAGGTCTAGATGATATGATATAGAGAGATAGTTATGAAATAGATGTTTTTATCCAAAACATGGTTTTCCAATTTAATGCAATTTTTGTATAGAAAACTAAAATATATATTAATTCTCCTAGGGTGGAAAAGGGGATAAAGGAGAACCAGGACAAGAAGGCATTCATGGAAAAGATGTAAGTTGATTAATATTTAAACGGTCTATAATTTAAATGTGTTTTGGTGGGAAGGACAGTTTTATGTAAATTAATTAAATTACCTTCTACAATGCAAGGGATTTAATTGCTAGTTTAGGGAATGTGCATGTTGTATTAAAAATACATTTTCTCTGTAACCCATAACAGTGTGTTTAATTCTGTACCTGTATTTGTAAAAACATGAATGATTATTGTCCAGGATGTCCTACAATGTCATCATCCCATCCAGTTTCATCAGGCTGAGTTGGATGTGATTAAATGTGAATTGAAACATAAATTGAAAAAAATGCAATGTAACAGTAACAATGAGTCTCTAGTAAGGTAGTAAGCTACAAGGAACCTAAATAAAAGAGATAGAAAAGAAGGGATCTGGGGATCAAGATTTAAGAGGCACATTAGGAACTATTAGCATACTGTTTGGGATCTAGCCAAACATGATGTTGTGCCTAAGGAGACAGGAAATACCTAGGGATTACTGCTCAGGATCCATAAAATAAGATGGAACAAGTTAACAAGTTTGGTAATGGGAAATGAGCACTGCGGGTAATTATGGGTTCACTGTTTGAGTTTTCTGGAAGGAAGAGAGATTATTGGGAGATGAGCAAAGCTGAAGTTGAACCCTTTGATGTCTGAGATGTCTAAGAAGGAAAGACTAAGGGATTTGCTGGACTGAGTCACAGGTAAACATAGTGTTAGAGGAGTTGTGTATTTAAAATAATGTAGAGCGGTGGGTCCAGATTCCTGCTGTACCAGAGCTTGTCTCAATATTTATCAGTACAGTAGGGACATGCCAGAGCATCTGCTTTTGCAGCCAACAGCCAAGCTGTCTTCCACTTGACTATGTAAAGTATCACAAATATACCACCCGTTGGGCAAAATGATTTTGGCACCTGACCCCATCATCTTGCCCAGCAGAGGAGGCAACCTTTTGGCACTTGTATTTTGCCAGCATACGATGTAGCAAAACCTTAGGAACAGGCCAGTACTGGGATTTTAAAACCTTTGTTATCCTTCAGGCAGTTCTCCATGTACACATTTCTGTTTGTGAGCCTTTTAACTATATACTTTTTTAGCTTAGCCGTACCTGTTCCAGCTGATCCCGTCAGGCTTCTCACCCCATACCAAGGGAATAAACAGCAGAACATACATTCTTAGTCTTCATTCTCTTGCAGTTGCCTGGATGTCAGAGCAACTTCTCGTCAGGTAGCTATGATCAGACTTGCAGTGACTACTCCTTTCATTTTTTGTTGTTGCCCTTTGGTTTCTCTTCCTTTCATTATCTTCCCTTATTTTCATTTCTCCAGAAACCTAAGCTTTGGGAGACTGAAACCAATTTATTTCAAGAGACTGTCTGGAGTCATCTCACCACCTTCCTTCCTCCCCAACACACACACTTTCTTCACATGGCACCACCATTTTCCAGTCTGGTGTTTGAGATGGATTATCCTAAGCATTTTTTTTTCTTTATTTTTATTACCCTCTTAGCCATGATCTGGTAGAGGGCACTTTTCTGCTTAGTCATATTATGATGCCTTTTTCCAGATTACCAGGTTTTCACATCTCTTCCTCTTGTGAGGGGCTGATTTGCACATCTGATTTGCACACAAGGTGTTTTATTGCCTTAGGAATTTAAAGTGCCCAACAAGTGTAACATCTGGTAGTCACTGAAGACCAGGCTGAGGAAGGAGCATGAGATAAAATGGTGCATGTTCCTGCTGAGCAAGTCCCTTTAGTCACCTCAGACCCCAGCACAGTGGTCTCTAAAGTGGGGTGCGCACACCCCAAGGGGTGTGCAAGATGATCCATTGGGGTGCGGGAAGAAAATATTAGAACTTCTATTTATATGTATATTTATATAAAAATACATATATTGGGGGTGCGTGCTCAAAAATTTTTTACTGATAGGGGTGCGCGATCAAAAAAGTTTGGAGACCACTGCCCCAGCACGAAGTCATTGGGCTGGCACAGTTCCCCAAGGACCACCTCCTCCTGGTGTCCATTTGCATCAGCTGGCATTGATTCAACATACCATGTTATTGTCTATGTGCTGTTCTAAAGTTAGGACCAAAGAGAGCTCTTTCCTAACCTTCATGAAGAAAGTAGCTATGGTGGGACCCTACTTTCATGATTTTAGCACACTCCAAAATGGCTTCAGTTACCTTTGCAGCTACCTTCTCTGGTGTCTCTGTGATTAAGGCAGGCATGTATCCCATTTGGAGACTGTTGTTTGGAGTCTGCTTCTAGTGGTGAGTTGGGCAAAATCTGGGTATTGCTTGAAGGCAAGAAGTAAGGGAGTTAGGACTTTTTCCCCTCAAAGTATAAACTTTGATCCTTCTTATAAGTTCTTGTGTCGGATGGCATGGATGATTATTCTCATAATATCTACACAGGGGAATGTGTTCAGTAGGGGTTTTCTTTTTGTGGTGTTGTTGTGGTGTATTTGTGTGACTTGTTCAAAGATATGATCTATTGTAAGGAAGCTTACAAAAAGTAGAAACTTGGAAAAACTGCTAGGGAGAAGTATAAGAGTATTTCTTGGGCATGCAGAGATAAAATCAGGAAGGCCAAACTGCAATTGGAGATGCAGATAACAAGAGATGTTGTTCAATATTTTTATCAGTGACCTGAAAGATGGGATGGAGTGCACCCTCAACAAGTTTGTGTATGACACAAAGCTGGGGGAGTAGTAGGTATGCTGGAGGATAGGGCTAAGTTTCAGAGAGACCTAGACGAATTGGAGGATTGGACCAAAAGAAATGTCATGATGTTCAATAAGGACAAGTGCTAAATCTTACAGTTAGGATGGAACGATCCCATGTTGGGGGATGACTGGTTAAGCAGCAACGCTGCAGAAAAGGACCTGGGGATTACAGTGAACAATAAGCTGAATATGAGCCAACAGTGTGTCCTTGTTACAAAGAAGGTTAACAGCATACTGGGCTGCATTAGTAGGAACATTGTCAGTAGTTCTAAGGAAATAATTATTCTGCACTGGTGAGGCCACATCTGGAGTACTGTGTCCAGTTTTGGGGCCCCCACTACAGAAAGGACATGGACAAATTGGAGAGAGTCCAGTGGAGGGCAATGAAAATGGTTAGAAGGCTAGGGAACAGGACTTGTGAGGAGAGGCTGAGGGAACTGAGGTTATTTAGTCTGGAGAAGACAAGACTGAGAGGGGATTTAATAGCAGCTTTCAACTACCTGAAGGGTGGTTCCAAAGAGGATGGAGCTAGACTGTTCTCAGTGGTGGCAGATGACAGAACAAGGAACAATGGTCTCAAGTTGCAGCAAGAGAAAGCTTACATGGGATATTAGGAAAAACGTTCTCACTAGGATGGTAGTAAAGAACTGGACCAGGCTCCCAAGAGAGGTTGTGGTAAAGGCATTTATCGTGTTGGGGATGTGGGTAGCATGAGCATTCTCAGAGCAGATTGGGTGCTTTCTAAGTGACTGACTATAGGTTACAGTTATCTTGGTGCGTCTGTGGTGGCTTCTGGTTTTGTACTTGAAAAGAAGTGTATTTGTCAGTACCTGGGAATCTTTGAGATATGTTGTCCACCCACACACTTGAACCCTGATCTCCTTTTGCTCTTCCTTGGAATTTGCTTCTGAAATGCTAATTTTAAGAGACAAATTATGTGTGGGGGATATGCTACGCCCTATATCCCCTTGATGTTGGGAAGCAGGCTCAAGTGGAGGGTCCGGGGGAGCCTGTGTAGGTAATGCCGACATACAAAAATTCGGTTCTCCTACATATGAGAATGGGTAAGTGGGCAACACATCTTAAAGTACTCCAGTTACTATTAAGTAACTTTCTTTTTTCAGTCTGCAGCCAACCATAAAAACTTTTTCAAGTCAAGTAAAGAATGGAAAACTCCTCTGGCATTTAGCAGCACACCAAAACCCAAGGCCGTGTGCTGCACTTTCCTCACTCCTTGTCTACCTCTCCTTTTTCCAGGGTATGTGAGACCTCTCAGCCAGTTGCACAGGTGAATGGATTAGTACCAGAGATTTTTTCCCATTAGTGTGCCTTATTTCTAATTGACAGAAAGAAAGAAGTGAAGTGAAGAGGGCAGAAATTTGTGGTTTTCAAAGATCTCATTTTTGGAAAATGGGGTATTAGTTCAGTTTTAGCAGCAAGACAGTAATAAAACATAATTATCTCTTCTACCCAGGTCCCCTCTTTGGTCCCCTGTCTGAAGGTCAGCCTAGGGTCAGGTCCTGATTCTGCAGCATATCAAAGACCTTCATCTCATTACAATGGGTCTGTAGTGAGAATTGAAGCACCTCAGATGAAGCTCTGAACATAAACGCAATATTATTTTGTGAATATTTTGACATTATAAATAGAATTATGGCCAAGCAATAGAGAGTCAGATCTGAAATTCAGAAGAATTCACAATGGATGCTTTATCACCTCACCAACCAACAGGGATACTGTGCTGCTCACACGAAAATAAAAATTTGCTAAAAACTGCAAGCATCATTAATTAAAGCTAAATATACAGTTTTTAGTTTTTTAAGCAAGCACCTTAAATATGGTACTCTTTATTTCATATGGCTTTTTATATAGTGCATCATTTGCATGAAAGGTATTTTCTTACTGTAAAGTGCTATATTTTTATAGTAGATTTTGGTCCTATTTTTGGATAATAGTAGATCTAATCTGTATGAGAGTGTATACTATGCATTCAGCTGAAACTACATTTAAGGATTCAAAGATGTATTCTCTTGTAGCCTGCTTGTCTACAAAGGTGAACTGTATACTTCAGTCATGCATACATATATGCTGACAGCATGGAAAAACACATCTGTGTTCTTTCCATAGCTCAGGAGACATTTCTATGTTGGTTCTTACACGATCTCTGTTACTACACAAGATCTTGTTCCATAAAACTTTGAGGAGGAGTAAGGTATACTGAGTATCTGGTGAACTATAAAGCAGGTTTGACACCAGCATGGTATGAATGTGTAAAATA